GTATAATCACCTGAAAATAGTAATTGTGTTTTTGTTACCTTAGAATGAGCTGTTTTTATCTACAGACAAGACAGCATGCCTACCATAAAGTCCACCATGATCTACAGTAGCCCAGAACGGGCAAACCAAACACTGGCCCTTGGCGTTTTTCACATGTTAACCAGCCACAGTAGTTTCTCCTACACACTTCACAGCCTGTTCTCATTCGCAAGTTGTCAAATACCGACTCCAGCAGTGTTCACTTAGTTGCGATCTGCAGTTTAACTGCTAGATGCCACTAAATCCTACACTGGTCCTTTAACTGTATTGTAAGTGCTGTAAATAATATAAAATTTGAGCGTGAGCGAGGCCTCGGTAGCTCCAGTGGAACTGCTGGGAAGCTTAGAAAAATTAAAATGACACCTGGATGAATAAAAGTAAAAAACAAAAAGATGTTATGTACCCCACCTGCTCTGTCTTGTGTTATCAGACTGTTTTAATGTGATTTGGTTTGCTCTGTAACTCAGGTTGTCAGGTCAGAACTGCTGAGCAGGCAGGACTCGTGAACCTGAATGAGCGGTGTGCAGGAGCTGCTTTATCACATCTTGTAACTGCCCCATCAGTTTTCACTAATGTTCTGCAAAACACACTGTTGACTCTTGCCTTTCTCAAGCTGTGTCATGACAGATGTTTATACACTGGGTGACAAGACAGGATTAGCATGAGTGGAAAAACATGCATTGGGTCCATACAGTGGAACTGGCAACTGCTAGTTTCCAGTTATGGTAGTATTACTGAAGCAGTCATGGCGTTTTATGGAAGAGCTGATAAATGTTGTTCAATATCTAGTCAGGGAAAGCATTGTTCTGCAGGATAGATCTATTGGGTTATAATTTTTAATTAACTGGCAGAAAATGAGTGCAACAAGACCTCCAAGATTTTGTGGGTTTTGTAGAATTATCATTTTAATCCTAGGTTTTATGTTTTCCCAGTAAAATGTTGTTATGATTGAGTCTAAGGGCCATAAAGGGAATGACAATGTGTCATCCACTTTCTAGAGAATGCTTTAGTAGCTGACTTGCATGTGAGCTTGTGGCAGACAGACATGCATTTTGCATCAACCAGCAGCAATGGCAGGGAACTGTCTAACCCTAAACTGTCACTATCAAAAATAATGCTAGATAATTTGCTCCGTCATTTTTATTCTACAGTGGCACTGCCCCTGTGTACTTTTAACTCCATATATCTAATGCCATGGGCGTGGCATTCTTAATTTTATGGGGTGTGAAAAAAATACAGTATGCCTATATCTCAGCAGTCTAGATTATTATTTAGGATAGAAAAATGAACACAAGCTATATTAAAGAGCCTTCTCTCTCTGCTAAACAACCTCGTCCAACCAAAGAGCTAATAGAGCTAAAAAATTTAGAAAATACATAATACAGACAGAGAATTGTATAAAAAGGGATTAAAAAGGAAAATTCATCTCTGATCCATATATACAGGAAATAATCTGCTTCAAATTCATTCAAATTTCTTGATTTACACACATTTTCTGCAGTCATGTTCACTGTTTAGGTTCATTGGACAGTATATCAGTAGTTATGTACTGTTATTATTATGCATTGAATATAATAATAAAATATCCATTCCATATGTAACTTACAGTTTACTAGAAAATGGTTTCATCACGGAAAAAGGTTGGAAACTAATGATCTACAGATCTTGGCACTAGATACTAAATAATAAGAAGCCATGCTGTATATATTAGTTTAAATTTAATTACTTATTACATTACTTATATTACAGTGAAGATAACAGGTAAATATCACAGATAAAAGATCATAAAAGAAAAAAGTTGAGTAAAAAAAGTAGAAAAGACGCAGTGCACAGCAGTGCTTCTCTTCTGGGTGCCAGATGGTGCAGAGCAAACCACAGTAAACCAGACAGCAGAAATATATTCCAGCGCACACCAGGATACTAGGATTGACACTGTTACATTATGTTCAAAACAAAACAAAAAGGAGCAAACTACTGAGTGCAGCTGGTGATATCAGCAAGAAGAATGTTGTCACTTCTTCAAATTGAGCATGCTGTGTCCTCCTGTGTTTCATGAGACTGACACTGAGATACACTATATTAAGAAAGGACTATAGAAAATAATACATATATAAATTTAGATTATATAAAATTCTTAAATTCATGTCACAGTTGAACATGTGAAGGGAAAAGCCATTATTCATAGTAAGGTTAGTAATTAACGCAATATTTGCTCCAGTACTTTAAATAGACTCTGTGATAATGTCTAGTAGAGATAAAAAATTTATGGACAAACTATATGGAACTTAAATGATTATGTTGATATGTCTGACATCCTGTGACTTGCCAGTTGTTGTGCAGCACAGAGCATGTCCTGCCTTGGGTCATCCTGTCAGTTGTGGGTGTGTGAAGCAAGTTTTTCAGTTTACTGACACACTCACCTTCACACACACTGGCTATTGAATTTAGATGAAAAACCGATTCTGTCTGTTTGATCTGTGTATGACCCAGGCCTGATAAAGTGAGAACCATCCTGGGCTCCACACACACACACACAGTCCAAACTCTCCCTGTGAGCGTATCAGAAAGGCACTTTGAAATTGAACTAATTCAGCAATTACTGTGCAGGAAGCTCCCAGCGCTGCTATGTGAGCAGCATTACAGACTGCTGCTGAATAAAGTAATATATCCAGAGAAGAGGAGAGTTGAGTGTGTGTGTGTGTGTGTGTGTGTGCCCATGCTTATTAAAACTGCACACACTCATGCTCATTACTAGAGATGAGGCGGGTGTATGTGAGCGAGGGAGGGGGCTGGATCTTCAAACGGTGACAGGATCTTTGAGGTATCTGTAGTGCTAACCTCCTGCTCACTGAGAGGAGTCCTGCCTTGTCTGATTTTTTTAACAACCTTTAGGTACTCATACAGGATGAATGTATTCATGAGGTTCCATCACTCGCCAATTCTCTGAGGGTTTGTCCGTGAAAGCCCCCCCCCCCCCTGTGTCCTTGGAAAAGAACTTAGTGTTTGCTAAATTAATCACATTGGCAACTGTCTGACAATCCCATTTATGTCTCATAATAAAAACGACACTTATTATGCCGCTCTCACATTCTATCCTAATGAAACTATTCCCTGTTTTGCCCAACTGTGGCCAGACAGGTTTTTCTGTCAGCTGTTTGTTTGTCTGCAAATTTGTTGCTGTGATTACCGGAGAACGCTTTGCAGTTTGTTGCTCAAGTATAATCACACCTCTGAAACTCTGAAGAAATATAGTGGCTTCAGAGTGCTGAATATTAGCACTGTGGGCAAAAAATGGTGGGATATTTCATACTAATCCTTATGGTGATGCTGAAATTGAAATGTTAAGTAATGAAATAACACTCCAAAACATTAAGTAAGGCCAGAGTAAAAACCTCAACAGAAATCTATGGTAAAAATAATATATATGTAGTTTGTAACACAAAAGCCGGTTTATACATGCACTTTGTGTAATTCGAATGGATCAATCAATCAATGGATATTCATTATATATTCCGACTGTAGTTCACCTAACAGCCACCGGTGTCATAACAAGGATTTTTTGAAAGTTCTGAGACAACCTTTCAATGAACTTCTATGGAAATGAATGCAACATGACCCTTGCAAATTCTAAAAACCTTTAATGACTGCATAATGGATTGGTCTTTTTTTAATATCTCTTTTTATTATTTGCACAATCCTCCCATATTGTACTCGAAGCAAATCACATGTGAAAGTCTGAACAAGTCTGTCCCAGAATGTGCTGATCACACCCAACCTCCTCAGTAAGACTCTGCGAGAAGCTTTGCCAGTAAAGTAATGGGCAATTAGATCCCCAAAACATCATCTTGCTGCTTTACTTATTAACCATGTCTGTTACATCATAAATGTGTTGACAAATGAGTGTGAGAACTTGGAGCAGTAAATCCACCCTGTATTTTCTTTTTTTGGTTTTAATCTTTTCCTAATCCCCTGTATGTATGTAGTGAGGTTTGTGGAGGGCCTGCACTGCGTTCTAATGATGCAGCTAATAAAGGGATAGATCTAGCAATTCCTCTGGTATCTCAGTATGTGCTTCCCATTAAGTCTGTCTGTCTGTTCTGTATCTGCAGCATCTCTTCTGAAAGGCCTGAAGCATGCCAACATCGTGCTCCTCCATGACATCATCCACACCAAGGAAACCCTGACTCTGGTCTTCGAATATGTGGTGAGGCTGCACACACTGAGATCACCCACTGTAGCGGTCTGAAATTAGGTTGAGAATCTGTTTTTACTGTTGGTTGAAAAGGAAAAGAACCCGCAGGTTCAAAGGGCAGGGAGGTCAGCGCTCGTCTATGTGTCTTTGGTTTGATTGATTTGACCTCGGCGTCTGCTCACTGACTGACTTTTTAATACTCTTCCCACAGAAACATGAGCTGTGGATATTTGGATTGGCATACTCTTGTTTATAGGGCACTTGAAGAATGTTAAAGCAGCCTGGACTTTTTCCACTCTTGCCATAGGATGGCAGCCAGAAGCACCAGAGGCTGGTCTGTCTGTGCCCAGAACAGGAAGCCAGGCGACCATTTTATTGGAAGGTCACTGTTTTAGTACATTTCCACAACTGCCCTGTAAAGTACTGAGGACACAAATGACAGCAAAGCATAGGGTTAAAGCATAGGGTTAGAGATGTCCTTTGTTGGTCTACAAGGTCAATACTGGAGCTAATCAAGGTAACTTCAAGGTATATTTGTATTTTGATAAGTATATGATATTTTAAGCACAATTTAGCGATGATCCTCAGTTTAGTTTATCGCACTTCAAAATAAACCCTTAATTCACAGAGTTGGATGCGCAAATATTTGTTGCAGTGGTTAATCCTTAGGGACAACTGCGCCCATGAAAAATACGTCCACTAAAGGTGCTTATTTTTGCCACTGACTATTTTAAGTGTCTGTCAACAATATGGAAATGATCCCTACAGAGATAGACCTTTTGTTTAACCAGAAACAGACATAATAATACTATTGTCGCCACCAGACTCCATAGACGGTAATATTTCTTAGTAAATAAGCATCGTTACGTCATTCAAAGTGGACAGAAACAAAATAAGACTCACCAAAATTGTCTTTGGTAGTATCTCCACTGTTCCAACAATCACCAACTCTGGTTGAAATAAATCCTTTATTCGCTGACATAGATGAGAATATATTATAACCTCATACACACACTCATACAACCTTACCACTTACTAAGTGGTAACTAGAGCCCAACTGATATATCCTTGAAAATGTGAAACTACTGGGATTTGATGAGTTAGTTAGTCTAAGGCAGTGGCACGCCACTTACTACTTAAATTGTTTGCTAAGTAAACAAAAAAATAAAGATCTTTATATGTGTAGTACTTAAACCTGCAGTGTGGACCTTTTTTCTCCCCCTTCTGACAGTGAGAGTAATTGCACAAACACTGTTGACTTGTACTTATCAGATATGCCTCTGACATACATACCCTGTCGCTATGGTTACTCCCCCCTTCAGCTCTGGCAAACCAATTCTTGCTGGTTGACATAAAAGGCATCACTACTGGTGCGCCTGTGTCGCCACAGTCTCCTGTATATTGTGCTTGCTTGAATGTAACAGATGTACATTTATATGTAAAATGTCCTAAACTCCGGCTTTAAAATCTGCCATCTTTAGTCCACTTCACCAGTCATGTTATCCTTGTCACCCTTGATGTATCTGATGAAAGTCTCTTACCACCACCACCTACCACCTCCCATAACTGCCAAGACCATGGAGAGCTGGGCACGCTGACAGAAGCTTCAATTTGAATGACATCACAATCTCTGCATCCATGTTCATCTATAATCTGTGATAATGACACCAGAAACCAAATCAGCATGAAAGAGGCATAACATTTTTGAAATGTTACATCCTTTCAAAGTGCTGTTGTTGTGGAAACTGCACATGAACTGTGTTTATCCCTTTCCAAATCCTGTCCAAACCACTGGAAGTCAGAGCAGTAATACTGAATTATTGCCCAGCCCTAGGAACAGAAAATCTTTAAATGCTGCTCAGCTCGGCTTCCACATAGTAAATATTGTACTACTAGAAAAAAAGTTCTCACCTCAGCTTTCTGTACAAAAACTACAGTCCAAATCCTCTGTTAACCCTTTGCATATGTACCAACTGATGATTATTTTTGATGGTCACATTGATATTCAGGTCAATGTTTGAGTCAATGTTTGATCTTAAAATGCTGAGCGAGGCCAAATCTCTCCACCAGAACAAGCTTACTCAGCTTTCCATCACTTCTGCATTTAATGAGACTGAAAACAGCGCAATGCCCCCTGTTGGTAGATACAACACATGTCAAAGGTTTAACTTTGTGGAAGAGGTTTGGTGAGACGTGAGTGTAGTTTCTATGAGAGCACACATCAGTTTGCTGTCCTGAGTTAAAACACGGAGGTCAGTTGACCCTCCCCTACCAGATTATTAATATCAGAATTCGCTAATCTTTTAATTGTGATGCAACACTGTCCTTTTAAAGATAAGGAATCACTTTATAAATGTATCCTTTTGAATAATGGATATATGTTTTAATTAAATTGTTAAATCCCAAGCTTTACAAATGTGTCGGACTACTCCTTCACATTGATCCATCATCTTGTCTTCCAAGCTGTAATGCTGTTTTACATACAGAGGGCTTTTCACCTAGAAAAAATCAGCTCATCGTTCTCCTCTCCAAGCAAACGATGATTGACAGGGAGAGGGTGACATACATAGGAAGAGGGGGGCAGTGAAGCAAGGGGGGGAGAGACAATGAAATGTATTACTGAGATATGAAGGAGAAAGGGTGAGACGGCCAGGCATGTCCATGCTGGAGCATACATCTGAATTATTCAGCAGAGGAGGCTCTGCTGGTGGGGGCAGCAGGGGGAGATTGTTTAGATTGTAAACATCAGTGGGATTTCAGAGCCACTGCCTCCTCCACCCTCAATCTGCTAGCAAAACACAGAGGTGGAGGGCAGGCTGGTGGAACACTGCATGCATGTATGAGTCAGTCCATGGTGGCTTTCTGACGGAGAAGCTCAGCTTTCAAACAAATCACCTCACGTCTCACATGGTAAACACTACTATAGCATAAACCAGATTTCTCAGGTTGATTGTATCCCATTTCCACTAATATTTACAGATGTCTAATTATGGTCTATTCTGCCTCACATTTAATAGTACTGACATCCAACCACCATGACGTCCTGTTCTTAGATTCTCAGGCTCTTTCATAACTGGTCACAATGTTCACTGTGTGCTCTTTTGCTTTTATTTTACAGCACACAGACCTGTGCCAGTACATGGACAAACACCCCGGGGGTCTCTATCCAGACAATGTGAAGGTACAGTATAATGATGGTGCTCACATAACATTTAGTTTAATGAACACATTGTCTTAAACAGGAGAGATTTTGCTACCATGGACACATAGCTGGATGACAGGATAGAGAGTGCATTGTTTTTTATCAATCCATGAGGAAACAAACCTCTTCTAACAAACCAGAGCAGCAACCAGAAAGTAAGTACTTGCCTCAATAACAATAATATGAGCATTTGCTGGACGTTGCCTGTAAAAAATATAGCAGCACGGTGTAGTGAAAAGCAAGCAGGACACAAAATAATGAAGGCAGCACTGTAAGCATTAATTGCAGGAGCTAGCTTGGCGAGAGTGCTAACAACAGCATTCCACAAGTTATGAATTCTTCACCTTTTTATGTTTTCTTTTGGGGCCTTTATGTCTTTATTAGATGGCAATAGAGGAGAAGTAACAAGAAATTGTAAATGGTAAATGGACCTATTCTTGTATAGTGCCTTTTTTAGTCT